CCCCCCCTCCCCCAAGTTGAATAAAAGAGGCTAAAGAGCCTGACAGCACTCATCTTCGCCTCTACAGGACAAATCTCTCTCTTTCTTTTTCTCTTCCTCGGTCATTAACACTATGTCTTGGGTATGGTCTGCAGGAAAAATCTGGCTTCAACATTTGATGCGGTGAGCGTGGATCGTGTCGAAAACAAAAAGAACAGCATATACCGAGGAGAAGAAAATCCCAAACAGATAATCAAAATAAAAAAAAGGAAGAAAAAAAATCGTCCCTCATCTTAGAAGCATCCAAAAACCAGTATCTAAACTAGACTTGGAAAAAAGTATGGAAGTGCTTACCTGCCTAGTAGCGACAAGTTCCGCGAGTTGTATGGTGCAAATCACCCCGGTAGCGAACCTTGGCGGTTACCCAGCGAAGGCAGCGACAAGATCTGCCTAAGACCTTGCAAAAGGAGCGGCCCAATTGAGGTGACGATTCAACAGAGCAAACGAGACGAGCAAGGAGTAAGACTTAAGTTGGGCAATATCATATCTACAAATCTAAAAACTCTCCAAAGTTCTTCTCGAAAATCGGGTCGCTAATCAATACATCAAAAATTGATCTAAAAAGGGTTTGAAAAACTACAAAAAAACCGAGTATAAATATTGCATTATTCTTCTTGCATTTTTTTGTTTTTTAAAGTTTCTTATTCTTATTATAACTTTTCTTCCAATAAGTAAGAGACTTGAGGGCTTTATGAATGACAAAAAATGAATGCCTAAAAAAGAACCAAGCTATTTGCACGTTAACAGACACTCTGCACCGGCCAACACAATTGAATCGCCAACCACTCTATTGGCCAGCCTCCCTCCAACCGGCCGCCCACTTCCTAGGCTGGCCCCTAGCCGATTAGTCGGCCTCAAAGCGGATGGCCGGCCTCAAAGCCCAACTAGTCGGCCACTTCCTTGTCCTACCCCTGGCCATCCAGCCGGCCATCGTTGGTAGGCCTCAAAGCCCAAACAGCTGACCACTCATTGGGCAGCCATGAACCTAAATGGTCGGCCACCCCTTTGTCGGTCACCTCTCTCTTTGGCTGACCACTTTGACAGGATGGTCATTTTTTCAATTGGTCGCCAACGAGGTCCCGAACAATTTTCTTCGACAACAAAGACCAAAATATGAGGTTTTTAATATGTATTAGGGATGTTTGAGCTCTTCTCTCTCAACCTCTTGTGCAGGGAGAACTTGCTCCCCCTTGCAGTCATCATGTTTGTTGGAATAAAAGAGGCCAAAGAATTTGAGGATATCCATCTTCGCCTTTACGCTCTGTCTTGGGAACAGTCTACAAGACAAATCTGTCTTAGGAACAGTATATATATATATACACACCTTACCAAAAGGTATATTCTATTCTTTAAAAGTTAAAATGGTATTATTTTTTTTGATGTGATATGAAATATTTATGCGGTATGAATGTCAAAAAGTAAATTATAGCTGTTAAATAATTAGATACATAGGAATTGGATACTATGTGTGCAAATGCCCCTTCTCTTTATCAAGAAGTGGATTTTTTCTTTTATTATTATTATTTTCTCCCTTCTTCATGGTTGATTTAGATTTCACCCATTCCTCAAAAAATTTAAATTTAATTTGAATCAACGAAATGTGAAATCGATTCTGCTAAATGAAATGAAATGTCTGTCTCAGGAAACGAAGCTCTTGTTGGTTTCCGATTGCTATGTTGGGCTCGACCAACAGCACTCCATTGAAGAATCTCACTGAGGTTATTCCTTGTTGGAGGAACAATAGGAGATGCTGCACTTCTATTGTCAAAGATTTGGTTGGTATGTAAATACTTTGGAATTGGATGGTATGTATGTAAATGTGCTTTAAATGTTAACAAAGAAGTCGATGTATGAGATAATTTACTAAGGTTTCTGCATTTGAAATATGGCATATTTCTCTTTTGTTTTTTCTTAAAGAGTGTTCATGCCAGCTAACAGAAATTTTAAAATTATTAATCAGATTATAAGCAATCTTTTATTTAACATATATATATATATATATATATATATATATATATATATATAATTATGTATATAATATTTTA